GCCCAAAGCTCAAGACAGACTGGTGGTGAATGGGGGCGGGGAGCGAGCTTTAGGTTGGGGATATGGAGACACCAGGAAGTAGTGATGGTGCTTTTGCCCCTTACCCGCCCCCCCCCCCCATTTAACTCTCCCGGACTGGTATACCTCTGAGTCTTGGGTCTCCTTGCCTTAACCCATCCCCCTAGGAGCCAAGACCTGTCCTACATAACTTCCCTGGGGCCCAAGCACATCCAGTGACCCAAAAATGGAGAGAGGGGCCAATGAGAGGAGAGAGGTGGGAGGAGGCAGCAGAGAAAAGGCTCTTGCCACTCCCCCTACCCAGTATTCCCCCTTTTTTCAAGGTTTGGGGGTCTCCGGAGTCTGCGTGACTGGGCGTTTATCAGAGTTCTCTCATACCTGTGTCTCTGGGGATGGGGTCTCCCTGAGATCTGTCTTTGGGTTTGGAGTTCGTTTCTGAGCTAGATCTCTGCAGGGCCTTTCAGTATTTGCAGTGGGATATTTCTCGGGACCGAGTTTCCATTTTGTTTTGGGAGTTTCTGTGTTTCCAGGACCTCATCACTCTGTGAGGTCTTTCAAACTCTTCTTTATGAGTTTGGGGTCTCTGCATTCTACATCTCTGAGCTACATGAGTGTCTCTCCCTGTCCCTCTCCCTTCTCCCCATCCTCAATCCCCAGGTCTGGAGTTTATCTCTTGAGTTATCATTCTCTGAGTCTGCAGTTTCTTTTCTCTGAGATATAAGTCTGGGGTCTGGTATCTCTGGATAGGAGTCCTCTAATTCTAGGTCTGGGTTTTTTCTGAATCTGGATCTCATCTTTTTCTTTAACTCCAGGTCTCTGATCTTGGTTCCTGAAATCATCTGATTCTGGAGTCTAAGATTTCTGCGGCTGTGGAGAACCTTTTGTGAAACTGGACACTCACATTTTGACCTCTGACCCTTCTCTCAATGGGGGATCTGGGGTCTTTTTTTTTTTCTGAGATTGGGGTCTCTGTTCCTCTAGATTTTGGGTTTGTGCCTCAGATTACCCCCCCGCCCCCGGGGTGGGCAGCAAGGTATCTTTCTCTGTGGGTCTGGGGTCTCTCAGTCTCAGGATCTGAGGTCTACATCTTTAGAACTGCACTCTCAGTCTGGTGTGTTTTTGAGTCAGGGGTCTCTCTCCCTGGTTCTCACTGAGTAGGGGTGGGGGCTGCAGATTCTCTCTCTCCTCCTCCTCCTGCTCTCTCCTCTCTCGCTCGCTCCCCCGCCCCCCCCTCTCTCTCTCTCCCGGCTGCCGCTGCTGCCGTTGGCTCCTATTCTCCTCCTCCTCCTCCTCTCTCCTCCTCTCTGCTCCTCTCTGCTCCTCTCTCCTCCTCTCTCCTCCTCCTCCTCCTCCACCTCCTCCTCCTTCTCCCCCTCTCTCTCCCCCTCTTTCTCTCTTCTCTTTCTCCCCCGTCCCCCCCGCCCCCTCCCCCCCAGGCCTGATGAGCAGGTCTCGCGCCTCCATCCATCGGGGGAGCATCCCCGCGATGTCCTATGCCCCCTTCAGAGGTACGGTGGGGAGGGGAGGGGGGGAGGGCCAGTTGGGGGGGGCAAGAGGGGGAGGGGCAGGGGCGGGGGGGGGGGAAGCAGAGCCGGGGCCAGGGAGGGGAGCAGCTGAAATGGAGGGAGAGAGAGGAGGACCGGGAAGGCAGGGATGGGAGCAACGGGGAAGGAGGGATTGGAGGCCAGAGGATAGGGGTAGGTAGGGGCCGGAGGGGACAGGAAACAGGCTATGAAGGGGGCTGAGGGGAACATGATGAAGGGGAAAGAGATTGCCAGAAAGGGTGGTAAGATAGAGGGATAGGGTTTGGGGAAGAGCTGCAGAAATAATTTGGAGGTGGGAGCTGAGAGATGAGGAAAATATTAAGGAAGCAGAAGGAAGTCTTAGGAGAGGGGCTAGGAGGGGGAAATGAAAACATAGGGGTGAAAAGAGAAGCAAAGAAGATGGGGGTAGAATACGGTGAAGGGGCTCAGAGAATGGTAGGGGGTTGGAAAAGAGAGGAGGATGGAGGGAGAGAAGAAGGGGCCAGATGGAGAGAGAGGGAGGCAGTGGGGGGTGGGGGGAATGGAGGGTCCAGATGGAGGGAAGAGAGGAGAGAGGGAATGGGCTGGGGGAGGAGAGACCAGGGCAGGGGGAGGGCCAAATTATGTGTGTGTTTATTGAGGGGGGAGGGGGCAATAGAAGTAAGATTGAGTGATGGAAGTAGAGGGCAGGTTAGGACCCTGCCCCAGACTCTGACCCTCCTTAAGGCCTTTGACCAGTGAAATGTAACCCCAGGGGTCCTATCCGCCTCTTCACTTCACCACTTTTTATCCCCCTCCCCCACCTCCAATCCCTGTTACCATTCCCCCTCCCTCCTCTGGTGTCCATCACCTATATCTTTCCCCCCATATGGTGTCCGTTCCTTATATGAGTCCCCCTTCTGTCCTTCCCTTATATCAGTCCTTTCTCTGGTCCATTCTCTCTCCCTCTCTTCTATCTGGTAGCTCCCTTATATTTCTACCTCCTCTTCAGCTGTCCTTCATGACCCACTTGTCTTAGTATCCCTGTTAGGTGCACCTCATTTCCTCTGCCCCGTGTCCACTTGGGCTCTTCTGGTATATTCCCTTGTCTTTAGGGATTTACTCTCATTTCTGCCTTCTTTTCTCTTGATCCATCCCTATGATTTGTCCCCCAGCCCATCCTCTATCTCTACCCCATTCCCCGGCTGGCTTGTCCCTGCAAGTCTGTGCCTACCCACTTTCCCCTAATACCTCAGCTCTTACCACCCATTCCTCTTTTCTTGTCTCCTCTACTTCCTGGGGTGTTGGAGATTTGGGTGCAAAGATGCAGGTTTTGATGGCTGGAACAGGACCTAGAAGACGTCCCCATCTGAGCCCTGTGGGACTTATCCTAGTAAAATTTTCCCTTTTCTCAGCTGTGTTACTCTGTCTCTTGCATCTGCCTCCCAGAATCATCCTTACTTAAGTCTAGACAATATGTGTGTGTGGAGTGTGTGTTTTCAGAGTTGCTTCTAAGCTAAGTTCCCTGTGGCCTTCCCTGCTCCCAGGAGGAAGGTATCCCCTGAACTCTAACCTGCCTCCCTGGGGCTGCAGCCTGAACCAACCCCTCCCAGAATGATTAGATGTATCAACAGATTTCTCCTCTGGGAGTCCTCAGAGTCTGAGCGCAGTGGGCATGTTGCCTGCAGTGTGTGCAGGCTCAGAGCCTAAGGACTGGTGATCTCTGTAGCTAGAGGGTCTCGGACAGAATCTCTGGAATGGCATTGCGATAGTGAGTCTCAAAGGATTGGGGTTTCTAAATATCTATTCTAGGGGTTCATCTCTGACTCTGATCTGCAAGTTGAGTAAATTTGAAGAATATGTTTGTAGACAGAAAGGGGTAGATTTTTCAAAATTTCCTACTCAGGGTATTCAGTTAGAATGAAGCTTAACGACCAGTTCTTTTCCTGAACTATACCAATGATTATTTTGTAAAGGTGACAGAATTTGATTTTGCTTCCTCTAAATTGTTTCTCACTGTGATACCTTAAACCTATTTTCTATCACTTTGATGTCACCAATTTGATTTCTTTCTTACTTCCATAGTGCCTGTTCCCTGTGTCCCTTTGATGGTGTGTGGCATTGGGATTTAAAGGAGAGACAGGGGGCGCCTGGGTGGCTCAGTCGGTTAAGCAGCTGCCTTCGGCTCAGGTCATGATCCCAGAGTCCTGGGATGGAGCCCCACATCGGGCTCCCTGCTCAGTGGAGAGCCTGCTTCTCCCTCTCCCTCTGCCTGCCTCTCTGCCTATTTGTGCTCTCTCTCTCTCTCTGTCAAATAAATAAATAAAATCTTAAAAAAAACAAGTAAAGGAGAGACAGTTTACAGGGATGGGGCAAGGGAAGAACAGCTAAGTTGGGTAAGATGCCCCTGCGGGCATCTCCAAGCATGGGCAACGCTTAGTCTACTGTTTGTCCCCATCCCCAGCTTGAGCTTTCGGAGGCCCCCTTCTCTGTCCCAGACCTGGATCTTCCATTCTTCCTTCCCCTCTTTCTTCCTCAAGCTCCTCACTGTACCTTGGAGAGGTTTCTCACCTGTGGAGTTGTCTTCCATCCTGTCCATGGAGACTAGGTAAAGAGAGGGGGCCGTAGCGAATCTTTGATCTCTGGGCATAGAGTGGGAGAAGAGATCAGTTCAGTCTCTGTTCATTCAAACAAAGGCATATTTCCTACCTCCTCACTCTCCAGCCCTTCCCATAGCCAGCTGTTGACAAGACATATCCTCCCCCTACCACCAGAAGAACCATTTCCCCAGATTTGAGCAGGGTTGGGCTAGAGGAGGAGGGAGCTGAGAATAGAGGAGAGGCAGGAGGAGAGGCCCTCTCCGGTCTCTGACTTTGTGAACAGGTAAGCTCTGTCATGTCCTCTCTTTTCCAGATGTTTAGCTCTCAGCATTTCATGCTCAAATGTTCCTATACCCCCTGGCCCCATCCTTTCCCATGGCTCTGTAGCTTTTTCCTCTCACTCTCTTACAGCTGGGGGAGCCACCTTCCCTCCAAGTGCTTGACTTCTGCAGTTATTTGGATGCCCTCCCTCTTCCCAGTCCCCTGCCACCACCATCTCTGTGTACTTCTCTTCTGCCAGTTCTGCTGCGCCCTCCATCTTTTCATTTTTTGGATATGGATGGAGAGCACCGCCACTTTTCTCTGCCTCTGAATGTGTACCCTCTCTGTCATGATATAATCCCCCTCCCTGAACCACTCCTCTGTATTTCTTTCCTGCAGTCTGCAGAGCCCCCACGTGATGTGATTTCCCCTCCCCTCTTTCCTCCCAGATATACAGGCTTCTCTTCCGTTCCTTTAATTAAGTTACCGTGCGCCTCATCCCCATCTGTAATCTCCAAGGCGGGTGGGGTCTCATTCTCCCACTCTGTGGACTCTCTTCTTGCCATTTTGGGCCTCTGTCTCCTAAGTGCATAGAACCTCCCTTACCATTTCTGTGTGTCTCTGTCCCCCAGATGTACGGGGACCCCCTATGCACCGAACCCAATACGTTCATTCCCCATATGATCGTCCTGGTTGGAACCCACGGTTCTGCATCATCTCGGGGAACCAGCTTCTCATGCTGGATGAGGACGAGGTGAGCAGAGTGGGAAGGCTGGGGAGAGACCTCTGGGTAGCATGGGAGAACGTGGAGAGAAAGATGAGGAGAATCCTCATTAGTGAAGTGGTGAGAGACACAGAGAAGGCAAAGAAGAGGGAAACATTTGCAAGCGGTCTGAGGAGGGTGGTCATTGAGATTTGGACTGGGGTGTGCAAAAGGGCAAGCATCCTCTCACCTTGGCCAGGGGATGTTCCTGTGCAGTGTTGGAGAGGAGATGTGGTTCTGAAGAGTTGGGGGTGGCTCCTGTTGTGGCTCTGCCCATATTGTGGGATAGGTTAGGATGGGAAAGGGAAACTGAAGGGCTTGGAGAAGGGGTGGCAAGAAATGGGCATTGCTTTGGAGGGATCACCTCCTAAGTGGTCCTCGGGAACTCTCTCCTGTTCTTCCCCCATCTCAGCAAGACCCATCACTCACCATGCCCAGGCCTGACTCTATCACGTGAGGAGTGGGAACTGAGGGAAACCGGGACCAGGAGGGGGCTGGAGGGTACTAGGAGAGATGACAGAAGTCAGTGGATCTTGGTGTGGATGGTGGTGAAGACTGGGAAGGTGCCCAACCAAGGTCAGGGTTTAGAGAGACCAGGAGGGCTTTCACCAGGGACATCAATCAGGAAAGAATATAAGGGGGGAGATGCCTGGGCAATGAGGGGAACTGGGAGCAGGGGACATTTTCTAGAGAAGTAGCAGTGGGAGAGGGATAGGGACTAGCCAGAGTGTGGGACGTGGGGGCCATGCTGGCTCATTAGAGCCAAGGGAGTATGGGTTCTGACTGGGCACTGGGTCAGCAGTGGAGGACCCATCAGAGGAAACAGAGGGTGCAGATATGAAAGGTGGGTGCCCAGAGGTGTGATTCAGGGAGTTGGGGGTGATTTGGGGGACCAGCTTTAGAGAGTGATAGGTAGCCTTGGAGCCCAGTGAAGTGCTGAGAGGCGCTCCTGCCGCTGTTGGGGAGGATGTGGTGAGGCAGGGCTAGAATTGGTTGGGGTTAACCAGGGTTTGGAGGGACCTGAGGGGCAAGGGAGAGTGTGCAAGGGCTGGCTAGAGCTTCCAGGTCACAGAATGAAGTCCAGGTGTCTAGGGGAGGACATGGTGACTTTAAAGGAAGAGGTGGTTCAGGAGTCCAAGTTTTAGGCCTTGGCGGGTATTTGAGTGATTCACTAGTGGTCTTGACCAGGTTGTAGGGGGTCTGTAGGATCAATTGGGGGAACTGGAACCAGTAAGAGTGAGGACTGTTGTGAGGATTGAGAGGGTGGGATAACGAAGGAATGACAGAGCTGGGCACAAGTCCAGGGGACCAGTGGCCAGCAAGCTAAGGGGCAACCTGAGCGGAGGGGCCAGAGTCTGGAGTGGGAAGCCTGTGGGGGTGGGATGGGTAGGTGAGCAGTGTGTAGGGCCACAGGGGGTTGGAAGTAGGTGGGTTGTGGACCTGGAGCTAGGGACTAGCAAAGTGGGGTGGTTCTTGGAGGGGTGAAGATTGGAGGCTTGGAGCTGGGAATGAGGCTCAGGGAGAGGGAATGGCTCAAGAGAAGGAGGCACGTGAAAGAGGTTGAGTGGGGGGCAAGGGAAGGAGATGAAGGGTGGGGGGAGGTGACCAGGCCCTTTGAGGGGGGCGGGGAGGTTGAGTCCCAGTCTGGCCGAAAGCCGGGCCGTGGGAGGGAGACAAGCTGTAGATCCTGATTATAAATGCAGCTTCTGCTACCCCCGTGACAGGCACGGAGGGAGGGAAGGTGGTGAGGGAGGTGGGAGGTTGGGAGGAAAGCGGGGAGAATGGAGGAACTGAAGGTCAAGGGGAAAGGGGATTACCAGAGTAGCAGACTCCTGCGGGGTTGCCGGAAGAGCTGAGTCGGGTTTGGGAGAATTTCCCGGAGGGTGTTTCAAAAGAAATGGAGGGAGGAAAAAGGAGGGTGGGACGGGAGGGAAAGGAGGGAGAGAGACTTGAAGAGAGAGGGGAAAGAGAAACCGACTCATCCCAAGACACTTGAAGAGTGTGCAGGAGTAGGGGCCGAAGGTGGGCAGGCCCGGTGGAGAGGGAGGTTCATCCTTCCTTGGTGGGGGGGAGGGAAAGAGGAGGGACGGCCTGGGCCAGTGAGGTCTGACACACCCCCGCATCCCCTAGATACACCCCCTTCTGATCCGGGACCGGAGGAGCGAGTCCAGTCGCAACAAACTGCTGAGACGCACGGTCTCCGTGCCGGTGGAGGGGCGGCCCCACGGCGAGCATGGTACGGCGGCCGAGCAGGCTCTCGTGCCCCGGACAGTGGCGGGGACAGGGCTGAAGGTGGCCGGGGCTGCAGGGGAGGGGGGAAGTCGGGGAAATGAGGGAGCTGTCAGGGGGTGGGAGGAGGAGGAGACACAGTCTTTCATCCTGCGAGTGGGAGCCTGGAAGGAGAAGGCGCCCTCCTCTGGGATCTGGAGCGGGACTGGGGCTGTGGGTGAGAGGCCCCAGTGGTCTTTGCTCTGTTTCGCTCCCTTTTTCCTCTCCAGCAGCGAAGTTTGCCTGTTTTCCTGGTGCTTGTAAAAATAGTCTCCTTAGATCTTTAGCTTCCTGTCCGAGCGTTCCTGCCCCTGCCCCTGCCCCTCTCCCAGCCCTTGGTCTGGGATCGTGGAGAGAATGACCTAGTTCCTGCCCTCCCCCCAGACCTCTGCCCCACCCCCACGCTCCTGATTCCTCTTCCAGACCTTCTGGCCTGTGGGCCCTCCCTCTTCTTGCCCCCTTTTCTCTTCAGCTGCTTCTATTTTCTGCAATTCTGTCACCCCCTTTCTCTTTCCTCTCCGATTTCTCTTATTTTCCCCACCCCTCTTGATTCCTCTGTCGTTCCCCTTTGCTCCCGGTGGAACATCATCAGACCCCCCCCCCATCATCTCCTTTCTGTCTGTCTGTAGAGCTATCTGCTCAGTCTGTCTCTCCAACTCTCTCCCTCTCTCCATCTGTCTCTTCCCCTCCCTCCCTCTTTCTGCCCCCCCTCCACCCCCCTCTTTAGTCATTTAAAAAAAGATTTTTGTCTTCCTGAGAAGTTCGCTTAAAAGGTTTCCATGGGAACAGTGAGGGGAGATGAAGGCAGAGAACAGAGATCTGCAGCCAAGGTGCAGAGAGACGCCCTCAGCCCCTAGAAACCCCCTTGTCACTGCCCCCTACCACTGCATTCCCCTTCCAAGAGTAGGGATCCAGTTCCTCCATCCCCCCAACCCCTAGTTACCCCTTTCTTCCACCAGCAGACCCTTCCCTCAGGTATCCAGGCTCCCAGTTTCTCTTCCTCCAAGAGATCCAGTGGCCTGTCTCCATCCCTTAGCTCCCTATATATGGTCCTCTTCTGATAGGCCCAGGTCTCACTGCCCTTGGGGGCCAGCTCTGGGACCCTGGGTGGGTGGGTGGGCAGGGATGTGTGTTATTGTCATGGAAACCTCTGACCATGGGGGTGTGTGGATAGCACATTTCTGTGAGGCAAAGCCAGGTGGTGGTGGTGGTGGTGGTGGTGGTGGTAGTGGTGTGTACAGAGAATGTGTGTGATGTCTGTCACATCTGTGTGTGTGTGTGTGTCATGTCCGTGTTTGGGAAAGATTTGTGTGTGTGCACATGTGCATACCTGTGTGTCCAGGCCAGAATGGTCACATGCTCACGGAGCATGTTTATCATATGTAGGATGGTTGATACCTCTGCCCACATAATCCCCATCTTTCTCCTTATCCTGAGTCCTCGGGGTCTGGGGTCTCTGGTGTGGGTCTCCGTTGTGTTTTGGGTGGGGGCATCCCCGTGTGTTTGGAGTTGGGGATGGTATATGGAGGTTGTTGTGTTGGGGGTTCAATAGGTGTTGGAAGAGGGTCCTGGAGTATATCTAGTTGGGGGGAGGATCTAGTGAAAGAGTTGATAGCTGGTGAACGTTTGGGGTTTTCAGGGGGACATGGAATGTGTAAAGAGCATGGAGAATATGCAGGGACATAGGGATCTTTAGGGGCTTGGGGGCCTGGGTCCGCGAAGGTGTGTGCTGAAGCTGTGGACGCTGGAGCCCAGGAGAGGTCGCCGGACCTTTGAGGGGCATTGGAATCCAGGGCTCCTCCTCTGCTGGGTGGAGCCGCCGCCCCTCGTTCCCTCCGCGGTTTTGGTGGGGGGTCCTGCTCGGGAGGGGATGGTGGGAGGCCCGGTTGGTTTTGGGGGTCCCCTCGCCCCCCTCCCCCGTCTCTCTCGCGCTGTCTCCGGGCGACGGGGCTCGTGACAGAGGCGGCCACGGCAGCAGCGGTCGCCTAGCAACGGCGGCGGGGCCCGGGCAACGGCGGCAGCGGCGGGAGCGGCGGCGGAGGGAGCCGTTCCCGCGGCCGTCACCGCGCGGCCGTCCCGGCCGTCCTGGGCCCCGCCGCCGCCCCCAACGCGCCGGGCGGCGCGAGCCGGGCCGCGCCGCCCCCTCTCCCGCCGCACCCCGCCCCTCCCCCGCGCAGGGGCGGGGCCCCTCCCCCACCGGGGACACCCCCGACCCCCCCCAGGGGGCGGTGCGAGGTAAGGGCGGGGCCGGGCGGACGAAGAGCGCGCGTGGGGGCGGGGGCGCGCGTGTGCGTGGGCGCGGAGAGGGGGGTGGGGAAGCCGCGGCGGCGGCGGCGGCGGCGGCGGCGGCAGCTGCTCCCTCCGCATGTTCTCGCTGCATCTTCCGAGTGGGGGGAGTTATGGTAACTGGAGGGGGGCAGCGGAGGTGGGGGATCGGGGACAGGCCTACGGGGGGCCAGGGTCGCGAGCACGCGGGGGAGGCCGGTGAGGGGTGGTCTCGGAGACCCTTGGTGGAGACGGCAGCCTGTGTGTCCGTGTGTGTGTTGGTGTCCATGCTCGTGTCCCCCGTGTGTCGATGCTATGTGTACTCGGGGCCCAGTTCCTCATGCACCGTGTGCAAGCCTGTCCTGTCTCATCGTGCCTCTGTCCGGTTCCTGCCTAGGAGGCCGCTGGGCCGGCCACTGGCCATACTGGTACATGTCACCTCTGACCCTGAGCTTGCATGTCCCTGGCTGGGGCTCACCTCCAGTCAGTCTCCTGTGTGTAGGGATGTGTGGCAGGATGAGCAAGATTTTCTCTGTCCCTGGTGGCAGGTGTGTGTCTTTGCATGTGTTCCATCATTGGCCTGGGTATCTGTGTCAATCCCAGCACGGGTGTCCAGGGCGTGTCTGGATGTGGGTGGTGTGCAAGTGGGGGAAGGAAGTGAGAGTGTGTGAGTGGGCTTCTTGGAATCCTACTATGTGTGAAACACCTTTGGGCTGGGCAGGTGTGAGCCCTTGGTCTGTCTGGGAGTGGGGACAGAAAAGGTGTAAAGGAAAGGAGTGGAGAGAAAGTGGAAAAGTGGGGAGAAAGGAGGTGAAGAGGAATGAGGGAGGTTTGGCTAGGAGAAAAGGAATAGCTGGAGAATGGGAATGTAGGAGATATTTGAGCCAGAATAAGGAGAAAAGAGAATAAGAGAGCTTAAGATGGGGAACTGGATGGAGATGGAGGGAGACAGGGTCTGGGAGCTGGGGAGGAGGCGGGGGGAGAGCAGAGAGGCCTGTTAGTAAAGCTATCTGAGAGAAGTAAGGGGCAAGATGAGAGAGGGCATCGGTTCATGTAGGCTGTATAGGATCAGGCTTAGTTGGATGAGGGATAGCCACTCAGGCATGGAGGCTGGCTCATGGTGAGGCCTGTCACCACAGGGACTGTCATGAGAGCTTCCTGTCCCCAGCACAGAGTTTTGCCCCCCATTTCTCTGCTCTCTCCAACTCTGTTCCTCATCCTGCTCTGGCAACCTCCCTCCTTGGCTCCCCTCAAGAGCTGCCAGCTGGGTATGAAAAGGAAGAAGGGCCAAAGGGAAGGTTAGGGATTTGGCGGATTGGAGGGCAGGGGGAGATTCTGTGGGTGATGGCAAGATTAGAGGGGTTGGAGAGGCGGGAGTCCAAGCCTTTGCGGTTTGTGTGTGAGAGTGCAATTGTGTGTGTACATGGGGTGTGTACATGTGTGGGTGTGTGCACAATGCCTGTGTTACGGGTGCGTGTAGGTGGCTGTTATGTGTGTGCATGCGTGTGTACATCGTGCAGGGATGGGACACGGAGACCCACGATTGCAGTGTACGCTGACCAGGTTTGCTGTGTGTGTACACGGGTATATGCCGTGTTTTCTGTACGTGCCACTGCATGCAGCTTTCATAACAGAATGTCCTGTATTTCTGTCACTCTCTTTTCTCTATGTGTTTTTCTTTTTTGTGGTAGTGAAAGTCTCTGTAAGCATTTGTGTATGTGGCCTCCATGTACGTGTGACTTACGTGTGAGTTCATGGATCTTAGTTCCTGGTAACACGTGTAAGGTTATGTTACTTCCAAGAGCCAAGTAAACCAGTTAGCAAATTTGTTCTCTTTCTGCCAATTCTTTAGTTCCAAAGCAAAATTTTAGTGGATTTAAAGTTAGTCTTTGTGCCTTTATTAGAGGAGCTTGCAATTGAAAGTAGTGCCTGAGTTTGGTTCTTTGGAACGAGAGTGAGGCAACCATACCTAAGAAATGCAGAGACTAAGAAAAAAATATCCTGACCCCTTAGATGCATTGTTGAATGTGTCCTAGAAGGGTAATTGATGCATTTGCTCCTCGTTTTTTCCTCTTTGGGAGAGCAATCATGGATGCCTGCGTCGGAGTCAGACAAGGGCTGAGGGAGAAGAAGGTTGTCCTGAGATGGAGTGGATGTGGTCATACTTCCCATGTGAATGAATGATGTTTGTGCTTTTGAGGTACCAGGGTACCTTGCTGTGGTTGGCATCACAGTATACTCAAGCATCTATCTTGAGGTTAAACCGACTTCCTGTGTGTGTGTGTGTGTGTGTGTGTGTGTGTGTGTGTGTTAGGGTTAAACGTCCATTTCTGTAATGTGCTGCCCACATGATTGCCCAAGGGACTGGGGCCACACGTCCACACCAGCAGCTCTCATGTGGGTGTCTGGGTCGAAATGTGTACTCCCCTGTTGCAGTGTTCACATATGTTTAAGCATGTATCCCGTGGAGTATGTGGGCCTCAAGGTCTCAGAATGTGGATCTGTGGCACCCCCGTGCTCACAGTTGTCTGTATGTCTCATAAGCACCTAGATCCCTATTTTTTGTATTGTGGTTATATACACGTACCCCCACAGTTCAGTGTATGTTTCTGTGCTCTACACATTGTTTCCAAGGGTCTGGCAAGGGTCCCTCTGTCATGGGGTCCACATTTTTGTGAGCAGACCTTCTAACACCTGGGTTTTAGAGGCAAAGGGAAGCTGGAGACTGATTCTAGGGCACGTCGCTGGTGATTTGCAATTCTGGAAGCAGACAGTGAAAATGTAGCTGTGGTCCTCCCTTGTTCTGGAACCTAGAGAGTTAACAGGCAGCTCTTCCGGTCCCCCCCCCACAGCCTGTAGCTTCTTGTTGCCGTGGAGATGGTAGCCCCGCCCCTGATGCAGCACCTGCCCCCCCATTGGCTGCAGTGGTGACTGTGGGGCTGAGGGGGGAGCCCAGGCCTGGGCAGCCATTCTGGAGCTGGAGCCGGAGCTTGGCATCCCCCCACTTTCATTCTCCTCTAGCCCCTTGGCCCCTCTAAATTCCCCGGCAGCAGAGCCTCAGCTTCCCTCCTCGAGCTGCCACCCCTCTGGACTCTTGGCAGTCTGAGCTTCATCCGCATTCTCTTCCCCTCCTCCTCCTCTCCCTGCCCTCACTTGGGAGTCCCCTGAACCTCCACTGCTCATCCTCCCCACTCCCTGCCCACTCCCCCACTCCCCTGCATTCTTTTATTTTCCTCTCCCTCCTCCTTCCTTTCTGAGTCCCTGCCACTGCAGTGCACGTGGAACCGGCCCCTTTTCCCCTCCCCCCCCCCATCTGCCCCTTCCTTGGATTTTCTGTCCCCAGGCTTCTTCTCCTGCCACTCCTCACAGGTCCCTTCTAAGACTTCCCCCTCCAGACCAGGGAGGGGGTCATGGGAGGCAGCCCTGGCTCTTCAGACGGTCAGGGGTTCCAGGAGAGGGGAGCAGGTGGAAGATGTGCCCAGCTGAGGGGAGAGGAAAGCCTGCCTATGGGCAATGACCTTTAACCCAACTTTCCCCCCCAGCTAGCCCCTTCCTGGGGGGGTGGGCACCAAGGACCTAGCTTCCGTGGATCTTTGGTGTCCTTTAATCACCGGGGTTTTACTGACCCTCTCAGCCATGCCCTTCTGCTGACTGCCAGTCCCAGTCATGGGCCTAAGGCCTCCCACCCCGTCCCCCTCGGGGGGCTCCGGCTCGGGTTCTTTACCCCCTCCTTCCCGCCGCCAGCCTCTCAGCCGCCGCTGCTCTTCCTGCTGCTTTCCGGGGGGTAGGTGAGGCTGGAGCTGAGGGGCAGAGGGAGGTGGGCGAATGGGCTGGGGTCAGAAGTGGACACCTGGGCTAACAGCAACCCCTCCCAACCTCCCTTCTGGCTCTTTTCCCCTCTCCAGAATACCACTTGGGTCGCTCGAGGAGGAAGAGCGTCCCAGGGGGGAAGCAGTACAGCATGGAGGCCGCCCCCGCTGCGCCCTTCCGGCCCTCGGTGAGTGAAGGGTTAGGCCAGATGTGGCTCAGCTGGGCCCCCTCCCCTCCAGCCCCAGCTGGAGCCCCAGCATTCTGAGAAAGGGGGCAGGAGGGAGAGAGAGAGAGAGAGAGAGAGAGAGAGAGAGCGAGCACTTGCCTCTCCCCACCTCTTTGGTTTCCCCCTCCTTGGCTCTGTCCCCCTGCTTCTCAGACCAGCCCTCCCACCTTCTCTGAGCTGGTGTGTGTGTGTGTGTGTGTGTGTGTGTGTGTGTATGCGTGCGTGTGCGCCCGCTAGCACCCGTTGGGAGCAAAGGAAGACAAATTGGTAGCAGGACTCCAATCTCCATTTCCTCACCTCTAGAGACTTCCCTTTTCCCCCATCCCACTTTCATCCAGGGACTCTTTACCAGCTGAGGGCTGAGTAGGTAGAACTTACCCTGCCCCAACCCACCCATATCCCCATCTCCCCCCACCCCAGCAAGGCTTCCTGAGCCGGAGGTTAAAAAGCTCCATCAAACGCACGAAGTCACAACCCAAACTTGACCGGACCAGCAGCTTTCGCCAGATCCTGCCTCGCTTCCGAAGTGCTGACCATGACAGGTACAGGGGCTGGGGTGGGTGGGGTGAGTTGGATGCAATATACGGCAATATAGGGGGTTCTTGGGTGAGATTGGAGGGAAGGGGGTTATCTGGGTGCAGAGAGTGAAGGCCCTGGATTGGCTGAGGGATGTTTTGGGCCAGGGGACAGAATGGAGAAGAGGCAGCAGCAGGAGAGGGGCAGGGTGCAGGGAGAGGACAAGCAGAGAGGCAGGAAGGGAAATGAAGGTGAGGCCAAGGAGGGACTCTTCTGGCCAGCAGAAGGATGGGCTCCAGCCCAGGACTGAAGGAAATGTACAGGACAGAGAAGGAGTAGAGGAGCCTGGAGGGAACATTGAAGGAATCCAGGGCAGGGGACAGTAGGCTGGTAAGAGCGGGAGCAGTGTGACCTAGGGAGAAGGGGTGAGAGGGGATGACAGCAGGTTGGAGTGGGGCTGGGGCTGGCAGATCCCACTGGAGGAGGGAAGGGGAGGCTGGGACAGGTATACAGGTTGGCAGAACAGGGAGGGGAAGCTCTAGGGTTAATCATGGACTGAAGTATGAGGAAGAAGCCCTCCGAGAATTTCGGAGGGTACTGTCTCTGAGGCTGGCGTTGCAGGAGATCCGATATTTGCTTCTCTTGTCTGCTTCTTGGGGTCCCTCTTTGGGTTTCCCCTCACGTAGTCACTCCCCAGGGAGAACCCTGTCCTTCCTTTTCCCCCATGTCTGGCCGCCCCCAGGATTGGGCAGGTAGGGAGGTTGGGATAGGTGAGTCACACCTTCCCCTGCCCCCTCCCATGTCACCAGAGCTGGATTTGGGCCTGGCGGGGGGTGGGGGGTGAGGGCATGGTATTCCTGGCCGCGGGGGCGGGGGGGGGGCCGGGGGAGCGTCGTGCTGACGGCAAAGGAGCCCAAGATGACGGGGCTGCTATAAATAGCTTCATGGAGGCTCCCACACCCGAGCTCCCCCTCCCGCTTCCCTACTGCTCTCCACTCTTCCTCCCCTAGCCATCTCCCGGCCGCTCACTGTCCCATCCCTCTGTGTTGTGTGGCCCGTCATCCGTTCCCTCAGCCCCCTTTACCTTCTGCTGTCTGGTGCAGTCCCTGCTTGTCCCCCCATCTCTGTTCCCACGCCCATCTTTCCCACTGCTCCTCCTCATCTTCTCCCAGCCTCTGTCTTTCTGCACTGGCTTTGCCCCCACCTGCTCCCTCCTGCCCTACCTCCCCCTCTTCCCCAGGCCCCATTTTCCAGCTCTTCCTTCTCACTTGGCTGCCCACAGCTTTCGCTATTTCTTGTGTGATTTATCCTCTTTCTTTCTCCTGATTTTGAGAAAACTTGTTCTCTTCTTGGATTCGTTCATTCTTTGAATCATTAAATGTTTCTTAGGTACTAGCTGTGTGCCAGGCCCAAACCAACATCTTTGTACTTCTGGTTCTTTACTTCCACTTTCCCCCCCTTATGTTGAGGCTCTGGTTTCAGCTAGAAGTCCCACCTAGAAGTGCCCCAGGCCCACCTGTTCTCTTTTTTTTTCCCTACCATGATCTATTTCTGGGTTGAGATATTTCCAGGTGTCCCCAGTCCTCACAACCCCTTAGGTGTGAATTGGTGGGGTAGGGGCTTCTTAAAGGGTTCTGGCTTCTCTCACTTTGCTCATGTCTTTCCCCAAGGATAGGCCAGCTTTCTTTCTGTCTGTGTCTGTATGGGAAGGGGGTTCAGGAGGCTCTTTCCCCAGGTATCTATCCTAGAGCCGGCCCCTGGGTGTGTAAGAAGAGTGAGGCCCTGACCCTGTGGTCTGACCCTTCCCTGCCAGGGCCCGGCTGATGCAGAGCTTCAAGGAGTCACACTCGCATGAGTCCTTGCTGAGCCCTAGCAGTGCGGCCGAGGCCTTGGAGCTCAACTTGGATGAAGATTCCATTATCAAGCCAGTGCATAGCTCCATCCTGGGCCAGGAGTTCTGTTTTGAGGTACTGAGTCTAGGGGGCTGGGGAGGGCAGGAATGATGGAGGGTGAGGGCACAGAGGCCTGGAGAAAGTGGCACAGGTGGGGATGGTAAGGAAACAGAAATCTCTGGGGCTGGGAGAGAGGAGGGTAGGCCAGGGAGGAAGACATGGCGATGGGGTGTCAGGTGCTTAGGAGTCACCTCTCCTCTGGAGCCCCATCTCAACCCCCCACCCCTCTCAGGTAACAACGTCTTCAGGAACAAAATGTTTTGCCTGTCGTTCTGCGGCCGAAAGGGACAAATGGATCGAGAATCTACAACGGGCAGTAAAACCCAACAAGGTATTGGGAGTAAAGGAGACACAGACAGCATGGGCAAGGCAAAGGTCAAGCCACAGGGGAAGCTGGGGGCCTAGGGGGCAAGGTGAGCTAAAGGGAAGGGAGGCTTGGGGAGGAGGGGACCTGGATGAGCAGGAGGTGACCCCCACTTTTCTCTGAGTCCCCATTTCTTTTACCATTCTTTCTGCCTCATGGTCTGTTACCATAGAAGTCATAGATTTGGCGCATTGATCCGCCTTCCCTGTAGGCAAGCAGTGCCCCACCAACACCCTGACAGCTGGACACCTAGCCCCTGCTTGCCATGGGAATGGGGTTTATATGGCAATTAGATGATCTCTAAAGTCCTTCTGGCTCAGAAATTCTACAAGTCTGTGTTCTTCCCAAGGCTTCTCTTTCCTAGGAGAAATGCTCCCAGTTCCGTCAGCTCTTCTCGAATCCCAGGTTCCAGTGAGCTCAGAGTCCTGGCAACCCTCCTCTGGGGGAATCCCTTGTTTTTCATTGTCCGGAACTAGGCCCAAGAGGCTGGATGCAGTCTGACCCATGCAGAGTCCAAACACTGTGTTCTCCTTACGCAGCAGCATCCCCTGAGCTTGGCTAGGACCTTGTGGGCCGCTGCATCCCCCAGGCCCTTTCGCACTAACTCTGCATATAGCCTCACCCATCCCATATTTGTGCAGCTTGCCTTTTCTGTTTTTGCTGTCAATCTCTGATTGTCTTTGGAGGACTCCCCAGTTCTCCTCCTTCAAATTCCATCTTATTATTTTTGGTTTATTCTTTGAGCTTTTGAAATTTTTCCTGATGCTGATTCTATACATGAGTCACCATCTGTATTAGTTGTCTACGGCTGCTATAACAAATTACTACAAATTAGGTCACTTAAAGTGAAAGAACTTTATTCTTCCACAGTTTAGGAGACCAAAAGTCCAAAATGAAGGTGCTGGCAGAACCTTGCTCCCTCTGAAGCTCTAGGAAGAATCCTTCCCTGCTTCTTTTTGTTTTTTTCGTTTTTTCTTCCTTGTCTCTTGATAGTTCCTTGACTTATAGCTGCATCTGTCCAATTTCTGCCTCTGTGTGTCTCCGGTTTCTAAATCTCCCTCTGCATAGAGAAATGAGGCATTGGATTTTCTAATCCAGGATGAATATATCTTAATATGAGTAGATCAGCAAAGACCCTTTTCTCAATGAAGGCTACATTCATAGTTTCCAAGTGGACGTGAATTTTGGAGGTGGGGGGACACTATTCAACCCGGTACACATCTTCTCGGCCTTATGATTGCTGTCTTAGAGACCCTGTCTCGTTTTCTCACTGCCTCTCCCCTTTTGGTGTCTCTGTCTCTCTCTCCCTTCCCCTTTCTCCACTGTGCCCACCCCACCACCCCAGGACAACAGCCGCCGGGTGGACAACGTGTTGAAGCTGTGGATCATAGAGGCTCGGGAGCTGCCCCCCAAGAAGCGGTACTACTGTGAGCTCTGCCTGGACGACATGCTGTATGCACGCACCACCTCCAAGCCCCGCTCGGCCTCAGGGGACACCGTCTTCTGGGGCGAGCACTTCGAGTTTAACAACCTGCCGGCTGTCCGCGCCCTGCGGCTACATCTGTACCGTGACTCAGACAAAAAGCGCAAGAAGGACAAGGCGGGCTATGTCGGCCTGGTGACTGTGCCTGTGGCCACCCTCGCTGGGCGCCACTTCACAGAGCAGTGGTACCCTGTCACCCTGCCGACGGGCAGTGGGGGCTCCGGGGGCATGGGGGGCTCAGGAGGGGGCGGGGGCTCGGGGAGTGGCTCAGGGGGCAAGGGCAAAGGAGGCTGCCCAGCTGTGCGGCTGAAGGCGCGTTACCAGACAATGAGTATCCTGCCCATGGAGCTGTATAAGGAGTTTGCAGAGTATGTCACCAACCATTATCGGATGCTGTGTGCAGTACTGGAGCCCGCCCTGAATGTCAAGGGCAAGGAGGAGGTCGCCAGTGCACTGGTTCACATTCTGCAGAGTACGGGCAAGGCCAAGGTGAGCGCTGTGCCCTCAGGAACAGGTGACTGGGAGTGGGTACTTGCTGGGGAGGGGGAGATAGCAAGGGTAGGGCACTCTGTCTTCAGAACGAGCTTGGGTTGTACAGAGGCTGACCCTTGGATTTTCCCGGGCCTCAGGACTTCCTTTCAGACATGGCCATGTCTGAGGTGGACCGGTTCATGGAACGGGAGCACCTCATATTCCGCGAGAACACGCTCGCCACTAAAGCCATAGAAGAGTACATGAGACTGATTGGTCAGAAATACCTCAAGGATGCCATTGGTATGGCCCACCCTCAGGTCTTCTTCCCAAACCTACCAGATGCGCATCCCAACCCTAAACCTGGCTACTCCAGACCCCAAGTCACCCTTCCTCAGCTTGATGCTTCCAAGCCTAGAGTCCCCGGACTCCAGCCTCCAACCATGGGATTCCGAGATTCCCCAACCCAGGCAGCCCCCCTCCTTGCTCTTGGCAAGTGTGACCACCCTCTGTTGTGCCCCCACCCCAGGGGAATTCATCCGTGCTCTGTATGAGTCTGAGGAGAACTGCGAGGTGGACCCCATCAAGTGCACGGCGTCCAGCCTGGCAGAGCACCAGGCCAACCTGCGGATGTGCTGTGAGTTGGCCCTGTGCAAGGTGGTCAACTCCCACTGGTGAGACTGGGAACGCTGGGTGGGGGCCAGGGCTGGGGTCGTGTGTTCATCTGTTCATCCATCTGTCCATCCGCAAAGAGGACTGAGTACTGGTTATGGGCAAAGTGGTGTGCTGGGGGCTGTAAAGCAGAGAAGAATGAGGCCTGGCTCTGCCCTGAGAGGGCCTCACCCAGAATGAATAGGGACAGAGTAGATAACACGGAAAGCCACAGACCAGCTGTAGTGTGTGTGAAGTGCCACGTGAGGGTTCCCCCAGGAAACATGAGGTCAGAGAAGGCAGAGCTTTGATTGGGATAAGCAGGGAAGGCTTCATGGAGGAGGTGTCCCCTGGGGCTGGGCTTTGAAGACTGGGTTGGGTTCTGATACGTGGATATGGTGGGCAAAGGAGACGTTGCAGGAGAAGGCTGTGGGATGGGCACATGCGTGAAGGTGAGCGGCCCGGGAGCTTTCCGGGGCCAGCAGTTAGCTCAGGTTTAATGGAACCCGTGGCTCATAATGGAGAGTGGAAGAAGAGGTGCGGACAGGGGGGTTGGAGTTAGAATCTGGAAGTCCTCAGCTGCCAGGCTAAGGAGATTGAGTTCGCTGGTAGGTCATGGGATGCCATTAGTGGTGCTGGTGCCAAGAGGTATCATGATTGAGATTAATCCTTAAGTGGTGTGGAGTGTGGGGAGTGACTGGAGTAGGGAGAGCAAAGTGCAGGCTAGTTGGAGGTGATTGCTGTTGGCTGACATATGGATCAGGACGGTGGCAGGGAGGGGAACGGGGGCCCACTGTGAAGGCCCCTCTGAGGAAGGGATCAGCTGGAGTTGTCAACTGACTGGGAAGAAGGGAGCTTGTCTGTGGGGAGTCAAGGATGATTCAAGAGGCCATGAGGCTGGTGTTTGAGACCTGTGGCCTCATTGACAGAACCAGGGAAGTCAGGAGGAGGAGCTCGTTGGAGGTGTGGGGGCGATGGTGAGCTCTGTTTTACACTACACGAGTCAGAGTTTAAGGTGTCAATGGGACACTGAAGTGGAACGGGGAGGTGGGGGAGTGAGCGCTGAGCCATTGCAGGGAGTGGGGATCACGCAGGGGCACCTCCATCCCCATTTCCCTGGAATCCAGAAGAGTTGGGGGGTCCGAGCTCCCTGTACCTCAAGTGACCCTCCATCTCTCTCCCATCTCTGTCTCTCCCTGGTGTCTGTTTTTCTTCTACTCCTCTCCTTGTCTCTCTCATACACCCTCCATTCCTCTCCTGCATGTCTCTCTCCCCTCATCCTCTCTCCCCCTCCATTTCTCTCTCCCTGATCTGTCTGTTCCCTCGGCCATAGGCCTCTTCTTCCAGCAGCCTCCTGTCTTCTTGCTGCAGTCCCTCCCTCCCTGTCTCTCCCCGACTCTGTTTCCACACCCTCACCTCCTACCACCCCCCTCAGCATGTTCCCTGGAAGCTGAGGGTCTCTGGGGCTCAGTCCCGGTCTCTCTCTTTCTTTCTCTCTCTCTCTGTCTCCCCACCCCTTCCCCTCAGCGTGTTCCCGAGGGAGCTGAAGGAGGTGTTTGCATCTTGGCGACTGCGCTGCGCAGAGCGGGGCCGGGAGGACATCGCTGACAGGCTGATCAGCGCCTCGCTCTTCTTGCGCTTCCTCTGCCCAGCCATTATGTCGCCCAGTCTCTTTGGGCTCATGCAGGAGTACCCAGATGAGCAGACCTCACGAACCCTAACCCTCATCGCCAAGGTCATCCAAAACCTGGCCAACTTTTCCAAGTGAGGGAAGCCTCAGGCAGGGGTAGGGTGGGGCTGGGGGTGGGCAGGAAGGGTCTCCCGAGTCCCCCAGAGACCCTGAGACGGGTGGGAGTGAGGCCTTCTTGTGTGTAACCTCTACCTTCTGGATGCCTTGGCCAGGTTTACCTCAAAGGAGGACTTTCTGGGATTCATGAATGAGTTTCTGGAGCTGGAGTGGGGTTCCATGCAGCAGTTCCTGTATGAGATCTCCAACCTGGACACGCTGACCAACAGTAGTAGCTTTGAGGGTTACATCGACTTGGGCCGAGAGCTCTCCACACTCCATGCCCTGCTCTGGGAGGTGCTGCCCCAGCTCAGTAAGGTCAGCAGATGCCCCTCTGCCCCCTCCCCAGATGTCTCCAGAGACTCTCTCAGACCACCCCCTGCACAGATTTTTCTCCCCTCCGTGTCCCCAGATGTGTCTCTACCACTCCCCCAGTTCAGACATCCTTCCCCCCACCCCGCACCCTCTGGGGCCCTCTTAGAGCTGGGTGCTTAGCCCCCAGGTAACAGCCTCATCCTTCCAGGAAGCCCTCCTGAAGCTGGGCCCACTGCCCCGGCTCCTCAATGACATCAGCACAGCTCTGAGGAACCCCAACATCCAAAGGCAGCCAAGCCGTCAGAGTGAGCGGCCCCGGCCTCAGCCTGTGGTGCTGCGGGGCCCATCGGCCGAGATGCAGGGCTACATGATGCGGGACCTCAACAGGTGAGTACCTGGGACCCCCACACCTGTGCCCCAGGAGCCCCTACTTTTCTGTTCTGGATACGCTTCACTGGGCCCCAGTGCATCTCTCTAGGGCTTGAAAGAAAGGAACAAGAGTCAGGCTCTCAGAGAAAATGGTAAGGAGACAGGTTAGGCGGAGAGCCCTTTAAGGCCAGAGGGAGCAGGAATCTCCCAGCCCTGGGAAGAGTGCGGGGGCTCCTCTGGCTCCAGCTTGTTGTAAGCCTGGGGCTTCCTGCTGCTAGCTCTGATTTGCCTAGTCCCCCTGCCTGCCCATGCCTGTCCCAGAGCCAAGGTGCCGCCAGACATGTTGGATCAGCCGTGTAGTATCCAAACATTGAACCGTCTGTACTGGTTGGTAAATAAGCACAATTCCAGCCCCCCACCAGAACTGAGCAGACCTCAGTCACGATTCAGCACTGGAGAAGTAACATGGGGACCCTGGCAGGGCCTCCTGAGCCCCAACATCCATTCCAATGTGGCGGCCTCAGCTGCTGCTTGTTCTGCTGACCGCCCTGCTTGTCCCTCCGCCCCGGTCTCCCTCCATGATGCCATACCCATTCCACCATTCCCGCCTCTCGTTCCATGCGTCCACGCCTTCTGCCCACCTCTCTCCTTCTGTCTGTCTGTGCTCGCCCCTCTTCCCATCTCTCTCCAGCTCCATCGACCTACAGTCCTTCATGGCTCGAGGCCTCAACAGGTGAGGGGCTCTCCCCTCCCCCGCCCCCCTCTCCTCTCCTCTCTGCTCCCCCCACCCCACTCCAGTGGCCTTCACCTTCCTCCTCTCCTCTTCTCCTCCATGCACCCTCATCTCCTCCATATCTGCCCGGACCTGCCCCTCATCCCTCCTCTTGGTGCCCCCATTTCCCCTCCTGTAGGCCTCACTCCCTTCCTGGAGGGGCCTTTTCCTTTCCTTTTTCCCATGTACCCCCTCCCATGCTCCCTGCCGGCCCTCTCCAGAGCTGCCACCGCTGGCTCCCGCCCTTCCCTGCGGGTCCCACTTCTCACCCCAAGGCCTGTGCCAGACCACAGCAGGCTCAGTTGCCAGTGGCCGTGGCCTCACCTCCTGCTCGTATGCCCCTTTCCCTTCCTGCAGCTCTATGGACATGGCTCGCCTCCCCTCCCCAACCAAGGAAAAGCCACCCCCGCCACCCCCTGGTGGGGGTAAAGACCTGTTCTATGTAAGCCGTCCACCCCTGGCCCGTTCCTCGCCAGCATACTGCACAAGCAGCTCGGACATCACAGAGCCAGAGCAGAAGATGCTGAGTGTCAACAAGAGCGTCTCCATGCTGGATTTGCAGGGCGACGGGCCCGGCGGCCGCCTCAACAGTAGCAGTGTGTCCAACCTGGCGGCCGTTGGGGACCTGCTGCACTCAAGCCAGGCTTCCCTGACCGCAGCCTTGGGGCTGCGGCCTGCGCCCGCTGGACGCCTCTCCCAGGGGAGTGGCTCGTCCATTACAGCGGCTGGCATGCGCCTCAGCCAGATGGGTGTCACCACGGATGGTGTCCCTGCCCAGCAACTGCGCATCCCCCTCTCCTTCCAGAACCCTCTCTTCCACATGGCTGCTGATGGGCCAGGCCCCCCAGGGGGCCACGGAGGGGGTGGTGGTCACGGCCCACCTTCCTCCCATCACCACCATCACCACCATCACCACCACCGAGGTGGAGAGCCTCCCGGGGACACCTTTGCCCCATTCCATGGCTATAGCAAGAGCGAGGACCTCTCCTCAGGGGTCCCCAAGCCCCCTGCCGCTTCCATCCTTCACAGCCACAGCTACAGTGATGAGTTTGGACCCTCTGGCACTGACTTCACCCGTCGGCAGCTCTCACTCCAGGACAACCTGCAGCACATGCTGTCCCCTCCCCAGATCACCATTGGTCCCCAGAGGCCTGCCCCCTCAGGGCCTGGAGGTGGGAGCGGCGGTGGGGGCAGTGGTGGGGGTGGCGGGGGCCAACCGCCTCCATTGCAGAGGGGCAAGTCTCAGCAGTTGACGGTCAGCGCTGCCCAGAAACCCCGGCCATCCAGTGGGAATCTGTTGCAGTCACCGGAGCCAAGCTATGGCCCTGCCCGTCCGCGGCAACAGAGCCTCAGCAAAGAGGGCAGCATTGGGGGCAGCGGGGGCAGCGGTGGCGGAGGGGGTGGGGGGCTCAAGCCCTCCATCACCAAGCAGGTACGTGAGGGTGGGAGGAAGGCCAAATGGGTGAGGAACAGGGAGGGAAGGAAGAAGTGGGTTGGGGAGGTGGGGGCAGCATAGTCGGGGGTCTGAAGTTACAGTGTTCTCACCTCCTTTCATTCGTTAAACAAATTGTATAGAGTTCCTGCTACGGGCCATGTCCTGTTCTAGGCACTGTGGGTTTGACAGTGAACGCCACACAAACCCTGCCCTGGTGGAGCTCGCCTCTCCAGAGGGGAGACATGATAAATAAATAGCATTCACAAGGGCATCAACACTAGAGCAGGGGAACAAGACTGGGATGGTCATCTTTGGCAGCACTCTCTCCTCCTAAATGCATCCTGCCTTTTCCCACCTTTCCTCTCTCTTCACCTCCACCCTGCCCCATCCCAGCATTCTCAGGCGCCATCCACGCTGAACCCCACCATGCCAGCCTCCGAGCGGACGGTGGCCTGGGTCTCCAACATGCCTCACCTGTCAGCTGACATCGAGAGTGCCCACATCGAGCGAGAAGAGTACAAGCTCAAGGAGTACTCTAAGTCGATGGATGAGAGCCGACTGGACAGGGTACGCCGGGCCCCTGACCTTCCTGTTACCCACAGGGGAAGCCTCTAGACGCTTTTCAGGGAAGCACTGGGGGTCAGGTAGTTACAGTAGAAAGAAGAAGAGACAAAGACCTGATCCCCTTTCTTGAGAAGGCTTCAATTTTCTAGGGGAGGCTGGGCACACACAGTCTGTTGGAAAGCCAACTTCCAACTTTATTTTGTGGCTTCTATGCATCATAGACAGTTTACGGAGAAATATTCTATGTTAAAGCTTATTTCCGTGTTCCTCCCCAGGGAGAACATAAGCCCTGGCTCCTGTGACTACTCAGGAAAGGGAGGGCTGCCCTACCAGCAGTGTGAGCTGCTAAATTGGGTGGTGGGCAGAGGGGTTGCAGTTGTACTACAAATTATGTCTAGCTTACCCAGTCATCGTCCCACCGGCATAGGTGACAGAGGGTCGGTGTTGGAAAAGTGGTGTGTATTGGCCCGTGTGTGGAAAGACCAGATTCTCAGCTGGTGGTGACCCAGAGCAAAAGACAGCAAGAGCTCAGGGGCACACACAGATAACTTAGCAGAAAGCTCCTTGGGGAAGCTGTCGCTCCAAGGACTCTGAAGAAGAGGGTGGCTGTAGGATTAGCTTAATGTAAAGACTGTAGGACCCCAACTTGGGGGGAGCAGAGACAGGTTTCTTGGGAGCTGTGGTCTTTGGGCATAGGAAAATGTTGGGACTGACCTAGATGGACTTGGTGTAGCAAGTTCCCTGAGAGAATTAGGCCCTAATGCCCCAAGATAGCCAGCTTAGGTAATAAATAACATCTCTCTTTTGTGTCTAGAATGGGGTTGATTATGTATGTATTCTCTTTGGAGAATGAGCAAATACTCTCTCAAATCATTTTTTCTGTTCTGTGGCTCAGATGAGCTATTTTTGTTGAGGAAAACTCTAGACTAGGACCGTCCAGTAGAATTTTCTGCAGTAATGAGAAATGTTCTATGATCTACATTGTCCAGTATGATAACCACTGGCCACATGTGGCTGATGCAATTGAGGAATTAAATGTTTAGTTTTATTTACATTTTAAATAGCCACACATAGCTAGTGGCTACTGTATTGGATAGCACACAGCTCTAGACTCTAGAGCCAATAGGCAGGTAAAATGACTCTCTTGTGCCTTTCTAGCCCCAGAATTCCGGGATCATTATCAACAGAGAGGCAGTCTGACATTCTTAGCCTGGACTAGTTTGAAGCCCAGACCCGTGATCCCACAGAGCCTCTCCTTATCCAATGTCTTTTCTTGCTGGGTCTTCCCCAGGTGATCTGGTTGGATTGAGGAATCACCTTAATCTTTCATTTCTGGGTACAGTCACTCAAGGTGTGTCCTTGAGTCTGTCTAGGTTCTTATGTGGGTCCTCATGTGTCCAGATTTACATGTGAGGGCAGGTATATACTTCTCAGGGTATGGGAGCATATGACCTTGGTCCATTTTAAAGGAGCCTTAGTTAGCTCCAGAGAACGTCAAATGCCACCGTGTCTGGTATGATCAGCAGGCAGGGAAAGGGCTGCAGAAGGCAGCTGGGATGTCCCTCACCATGCAGTGGCTGCATGGTAGTCAAGGACAGAGACTGGGTGGTGCGGTTGGGGTGAGGCACCCCTCACAGTGCGGGGTCGTGTGCCCGGCGGGCAGGTGAAGGAGTATGAGGAGGAGATCCACTCACTGAAGGAGCGGCTGCACATGTCCAACCGGAAGCTAGAAGAGTATGAGCGGAGGCTGCTGTCCCAGGAAGAGCAGACCAGCAAAATCTTGATGCAGTATCAGGCCCGACTGGAGCAGAGTGAGAAGAGGCTAAGGCAGCAACAGGTGGAGAAGGATTCGCAGATCAAAAGCATCATTGGCAGGTGAGGGGCGGCCTGGGGAGGGGTAGCAAGGGAGAGCCTGAGGCTGAAGAGAGCCAGTGAGCTTCCCCTCCAGCCTCCAGCCCCAAACTCAGGACACCATGAGGAAAGCCCATGACCCTGCTCCCAGAGATTGCCACTCACTCACCAATCACCAAATGGGGAGAAACTTCTTGCTTAGTGCATAAATGTTCTCTCCTGATAGAGTAACTTCTGAAGCCCTTGGAAAATGTGCCTGTTACTGTCCATCACTATGTGTCTGGCCCCAGCCTAGGCTGGGACTCCCCACTGGTTATTCTCAATCCAGCCTGTGATGTTCTCCCCAAACCCAAGCAGAGATTCCCTAGCCAGAGTAGCCCCTGGCCATCCCTATCCTCGGTAAACCCTCTCCAGCCCTCAAAAGATGTTCTGTTAGAAAGTGAATGACCCTTCTTTTAGCGTGTGAACATTTTCACCTGCTCTGCCAAGCCTTGGCCTCCAAAGAAGGTGTCTCAGCAAGGGGGTCAGCTGTCCTGAGAAGTGGATGGGACCCCAGGCCCCACTCTAACCAGAGCCAGTCCCATTTTGGTCCACTCTGAATGTAGCTTTGAGTAAGATTAATTAGAAGAAAAAGGCTTGACTTGAAACTTATTTTGAAACCCTGCTCTAATGGATATCCTTGCTGAGAAATCACCTTGAGAATTTTCATCAAAGGCAGGGACGTGGTGGGAATGATGACTGTAGAGACCCCTCTTGGGCTAGGGGGCATCCCACTGGAGGCACTGGAGGTATCCTAGGTTCAGTCAGGTGGAATGGGACGTGGAAGCCAGGCCTTAAGCCACAGAGGGGCTGTGGGAGGGCACAGTCCTGAATGGGAAGATGTAGGGCTTAGGGGGTGTCTGGGTGGTAGAGGTCTTTGAGGCCCAGAAAGTGGTCCTTAGCAGGGAAATGTGAGGGTCCCTGAGAGGAAGGTTAACACAGGGAGTCTTTTGGGTCGTAACAATGGAAGGATTCTGAGGGCAGAGGAGAAGGACGCCTGAGGCTTTTCCAGAGAGCTACAGGGGTTCCCCAGGGTCAGGAGTTCCACTGGCAGGCTCCAAGCCCGTGCCCGCCACTAACCCCACTGAAGCCCGTCCCTTCAGGCTGATGCTGGTGGAGGAGGAGCTGCGCCGGGACCACCCCGCCATGCCTGAGCCGCTGCCCGAACCCAAGAAGAGGCTGCTCGACGCTCAGGTGGAAATTACAATGTCATTTATCTTCTCCGTGTCCCATCCCCATCCATCCCACTGTCCTTCGTGCACTCACTGCACCAGCCACCCAGCCCCATCTCCATCTGTCTCCCACTGTCCTCCGTTTGTCCACTGGCTGCTCCTGGCAGCCCCCCCAGTGACCCCATCTTCATCCCATCGTCTGTGCCTTTGTCACTCCTGGCAGTGTCAGCCCCACCCCTGTGCCTTCCTGCCCCGTCTTTCCCACTCCTGTCTGGGTCTTGGAACATCCACCAGAACCTCAGTCTCTCTGCCCCCGGACCCCACCCAGTTCCCGGCACCCCTGCCCCATCTTGTGCCTGCTCCTGTTCACATCAGGGAGTTCAGCTTCCTCTGAGCTCTCCTTGAGCCAGAAGGGCTAGAGGCTGTAGTTTGCTGGAATAGAGTATGAGTTCCAGCTTCTCAGGCTCTGGATGGCCCCCATCACCTCTATTCTCTTGGCTTCCCAATTTTCCTGTTTCCTGGGCAGCTTCTGAATAGCTTCCTCTTCTGACTCTTTAGCTCTTGAAGGCCCCTCCCACCCCATAAACTTTCCTTCCCTCAGTATTTAAATCCAGTGAAGGCCTCTGGCCTGTGCCTCTGTTCTTCACACCTGTCCAGCTCTCCAGCTCCCTGCTGCCCTCCCTCTCTTCTCAGCCAGCTTTTGAGACCTCCCTCCTGCACCCTTACCCCTTGCTCTCCCCAATTCTGCTCACTTTCCCACCCACGCTCCTCCTTCCTCTGCTCTGACCGCCAGGCTTCCCCACCACTACTGCTAAGGCTCCTGACCCCATGACCCCACTCTCTCCCCCTGCAGCTCCTCATCAGGTAATTCTCCTGGTTCCGCTTTGACTACGGGCGGAGGACACAGGGGGAGGTGACTCCGGACCACTGCAGGTTGGTCGTGAAGCCCACTCCCCCCGACTCTCTGGAGCCTCTCCCCACCGCCCCCCCCATTGCTTCTCTCCACACCCGAGAACCTCCACAGACCCTACCCTCCTGACACCTCCTGCACAGACCCATTTCCAAGCCGCTGCCCAGAGAGAGCACTTCCTGCTGCTCCCGGAACTGTTCAGTGACACCCTGCCAACACCAAGCATTTTACCCTGGACAGGCCCAGCACATCCCCACATCTCCTTTGATAGAACCCACTGCCCAGCCTCCTCTCAGTCCTCTTCCTCTGCCTCTCCAGTGTATGTCTGTCACCCCCCATTTCACCAGAGCGTCCTTGGGAGTTGGGACGTTGGGGGTGGGCCTTGTTAAGGGGTGGCCATGATGATGGGTTGGGGGACCCTGGCTAGAGGGACTGTGCTGACTGCAGCAGGTAGGTGGGGGTTTCCTCTTCCTTCCCTAACCTTGGTTCTCCACGCCTCCTCCCACCCCTTACCTGTTCCTCTCTTCCTCTTCCCTTACATCTGAAGTAGAAGGCATCTGCAGCTCCTATTGGGCCCCACTGGGTGGGAATTATGGGTAAGCTAACTCAGGAAGACTTTGGGAAGGGGCACTGGAAAGAAGCTGTTCAGGATGTCAGGACATTAGGCAGGGTGAGTGGAACAAGAAGAAACAAAAAAAAGAGCCTTGACAGATGTTAGGATGCAGACTGGCCCATGTGGCGTGGGAGTTGGAAGTGGGGTGAGCTGTCTTCCTAGATAAGATCATGGGCTCAGTAGCCATGTGGATTCCCAGGCAGAGATGCCAGGAACAGCATGTTAAATAATCTCTCTATTCTTCTTGTCAGAGCTCACTCCCCCTCTCCTGCCACCCAGTGGCCTTGCCGGACGCACAGTCCTACCCAAAAACCAGTAAATGGGAACCTGTCAGCCACTGACATCATTTCTGAGGTGCTTTCTTTTCTGTGGGACTGATCTGCAGTGGGCAGTGGCTCCTCACACTGTAATTTTAACTCTCTGCTTGCCCAGCCTCTCTGTCAAAGTAGTTAGTGATCTGTAAACAGATGCTAAAAGGCACCAGGGGACCTCACCATTTAAAGGACTCCTGCAGTGAATTCTTTTGTGAAATGAATAATGGTACCCTCATTTATCTACTTTCTAAATTTGGGTCCATGGGGGTGTAGGGGGCATGCCTATGTTCTGTTGCCAGCAGACAAGCAGAGAGGAGGGAATCTGAGGTTCCCTTCCCCTGCTCTCCTGCCATACTCAGGATCCCCTACCATACGTAATTTCCTCTCTCTCACTGACTTGGGGAAAGTGTGCGAGATGCTCAGCAAGCTAAGGGGGAGGCTTTGCTTAAGGCTGGGGTTTTGGTGACCTTCTGAGAGGTGAGCTCTTCGATTTGGAAGGGAGAACTGATCCGGGAGCCTCTACTTGGAATGTTTTTGTATCCCACAGAGATATGGTTACACATAATGGGCCTAAATGCCCAGTGGCCTGAGAAATAATTTGGACACTTTCTAAATCACTTTTAGGTATTGGTCCCTCTGCAATGCAGTCATTCATTGGCTTAAAAAATTAATTTTGTGCCTGTATTTTAAAACACCAAGTGAGCGACCAGAAGTGTAGTACAGGTGGCTTCCTTCTCTCCCAGCAGAGGAACAGAAGCCAGAGTTGAGGGCAGGAGGCAGGAGCTAGCTGGTCCAGGGGTGGGAGTAGGGTCTGGTACCCCTCTCCATCTAACAGGGATCCCAAGGCGAGGGATTGAAAGGAACATGGGGGTGGAAAGGAATGAAGCAGTTCTGCTTCCTGGGGACACAGAGATGGGGGCATGCTGTGCCTCTGCAGACGCTCCTAGTCATTTCTGCCCTTAGCACGAGAGAGGCAGCCCTCCCCCAATGTTTTTACCATCCCCCATCACTTCCCTGAATCTCTCGCCCCCCACGCCCCAGTACAGTTAAACCTCTCGAATTTGGAAAGTTATATTCGAGAAGATGACCACTCTGAACAAGTGACAAAACTGAACGGCAGTGTCTATTTAATGAAATGCATGTCTTCAAAATACATACAGTAAGTAGGACTCGATGAACAAGGCTTTTCCACTGGAGGCCCTCAGGGAGCACGCGTTAATGAACAGATAGGATTCCAAAGTCTGTTGGCTGGTACCCTCCTACAGACACGTTTCCACTATTAATTTGCTTAGCACACCCTTTCTTCAGAGCTAAAGGAAAACGCAAGCCCAGTTTTTGTTCAAATTATGAAAAAAGTCCAAATCCATGGGGGTTTGGATTAATGAGGTTTTGCTGTACTGCCTCCCCTTGTTCCCTCAACACAAAGTTCCTACCTCGGATTGGGGGTGGGCTGGGAGGGGGTTCCACGAGGAGGAGGGCGGCTGGGTAGGGGAAGGTACAGGGGGTTAGGCGGGGGGTGAGATAGGAACTTGTTTCTTTTGAACTGGTTTCCTGGTATGGCTTCCTGGGTTGAAGGCCCGTTAGGAGTCAGGGGGTGAGATTCTCTTCTCCCTGATCCCAGAAGATGTAACTTCTACTGCAGGTGAGAAAAAAATAGGAGGATGGGGGTGGGGGGTTGTCCTGGGGGCAGGGAGGGGGACATGGTTTATGGAGTGGGCTGGTTATGGTGGGGGGGCCATGGCTAAGGGGGCTAACACCCAGGCCCCCGCGAAGCGTCTCAATAAGTCCGCGCTCTCCTCTTTGGTGTCTTGCAGGAGAGGCAGCTTCCCCCCTTGGGTCCAACAAACCCGCGTGTGACGCTGGCCCCACCTTGGAACGGCCTGGCCCCCCCAGCACCGCCCCCCCCACCCCGGCTGCAGATCACCGAGAACGGCGAGTTCCGAAACACCGCAGACCACTAGCCCACCCAGCCTCACAGACCTTCTCCCTCCCCATGCACCCCACCCTGGAATAGCACCCACCACCAGGACTGGATGTCGCCGAGGGACAGCGGGATTGCCTCCCTGAATGCCTCCTTGGGGGGCACCAATCCCCCACCCCCACTGCACCATTTCCAGGGGGGAAGAGTGCGGACCCTTAGCTGTCCCCTTTTCCTTCCTGTTGGGGTGCTGCCCCCTGTGGCCCCCAGGGACCCTTGCCCCAGGACACCACCTACCCCACACAGACCCCTTCACTCTGGGGTGCTATCCCCATCCTCTGCCTCATCGTTCCCCTGAGCACTGGGGGACAGACCCTCACCCCCACCCTGGGGGTGTGGCACCTCCAAACTTTCAACTTCAGGGTGATTTTTTAGCAGTAACCAGAGCTGACAATCTAACTCCCCTCCACCGCCCCATTTGACCTCCCCTGTCCCCCTTGTTATGGGGAGGGGACCCCAGGTGAGGGGGCCCTGTTACCCCTTGATTTCTCAGGAGCGTCTGGGGGGGCTCAGCACGCACAAACTCCTTCTCCTACTACTCTTAAATTTACTCCCTCCCCACCCAGAACCCAGATGGGGTGGAGGGGCCACCGGGGCAGGGAGGGGGCGGCAAGGGGGGAACGGGAGTCGTCTCCCCTTCCTCCCACACCTGATCTGCTCTTGGCTGGTCCCAGAGCGGGGTGAGGGGGCTTATGCCCCCCCCTCCCCCAGTGTGTTGGGTGGGGTGGAATTGAGGTTAGGGTGAGGGGTTAGGGTCTAGGAGGGTGTGTGTGTTAGGGAGGACAGACCAGTTGATCTGCCCTACCCTGACACACACAGTCCCCTTCGCCCCTCCCCTCTCTCTTCTTGGTCTCTACTCCCAGGGGGAGGGGGGAACTTACTCTAGGAAAAGCCATGTCTCTCTCCCCCAGGGTGGGGGGACCTGTGTTGGAGGAGGGGTGTTGGGGGCCCCCTTCCATGACTCTGTCCCCCCGGGGGAGGTAGGACAGGGCTGGGCTTCCCTCTCATCCTCCCCCCTCCCCAATCTCCCTCCACCTCCCTCCCTCCCGCCAGCTCCACAATTTTTCGGTGTTTCTCTGTACATAGCTCTCTGGCGGGATAGGGGAGGTAGGATGGATGGGGTTTAGGGTGGGTAGGTCATGGGAGGGGAGAAGCCCCTCCTTGGCACCCCCTTTTCCCTGACTGCTGTCCCCTACCCAGCCTTGCCCCCTCATCCCTTCTTGCGTTTGGTATTGAGACTCTTTCCAGACTTCACCCTTCTTTCTTTTGTATGGACAGTTCCTCTTCAGTCCCATCCCCCTACACACATACACCCAGCCGGGGCCAAATTTATACTTATATAAAAGTTGTAAATATGTGAAATTTTATCCCTGTGCCCTTTCCTTGCTTTCCCAACCTCAGACCCTACCCCTGGACCCCCTTTCCTCCTCTCTTTGGCTGTTGTAATTATCTGGGGTTTGTACTGTACATATCGGGGGTGTGTGTGTGTGGGCTGGGGGCAACCCCTCTGTACAGAGCTTCCTGGCCCCCTCCCCCCCCACGCTTCCCTCCCCCTCCACCACCCTAAGGGTAGGGAGATGCTCTTCCTACCTGTTTTATTTTGTTTTCTCGTTATCCCTCCCTACCCTATCCCACCCCACTCCCGGCCTTCTCTGTCCTCCACCACTATCCCTTTTTCTCCACTCCCAGCCCCATTTCCTTTTTTTCTGGAGTGTGTGGTGAAACAGAAAAATCATGTTTAATAAACGGAGATTGTTCTTTTATCGCTGTGCTGACTTTCCTAAGCTGGGACCTCCAGGCGGACAAGCAGGGTCCTGCTTTTTGAGAGGAAGCTGACAGCCTGGGAGAAACTATATCCCTGCATGATGCCAAAGTCTCCTCCAGAGTATCATTCTCCCACCCAGAGATGAGATTTATTCTGTTTTTGAGCAGGGGTTGTGCACTGGCCAAGCTTACCCAATCTCGCTCTCCCCTCACCACTGCTCCCCTTAATCCGAATGAGTAAAGAGGCGAGGGAACAGGAACATTATCTGATAAAAAAAATTACAAGTGTATATCTGCAGACACACATATACATATATATTTAGTAATTACCCAGAAATAAGGTTTATTTAATTGCTGGTTAAAATGCTCCCGTAGGGAATGGAGGAAAGAACTTGGTTCCTCAGCAAATCTTGAGTTCTAATCTCAGGCCCGTCACTTGCCAGCCTCGATTTCCCTCAGGAAACAGCACAGCAACACCTACCTTGCAGGGCTGGGGTTGGAAACAAGGTGATGTGGACCACGGCTGGCCCACACAACAGGTGCCCACTTAACCTCGCCTTCACAGCACCCAGCAGGGGGCGGGCGCTATATTTAATCACCCGCAGGGCTTACGGGTCGCCCCCTCCTTCCGGGCTATGGTCTCTCGAGCCCTGGCTCGCCGTCCTCCCACAGGTGCCGCCACCCGGTCCGCCGCCGCTCGGGGGTCAGACACCTCCTGCCAGCACCGCCTTCTCGCCCGCGCAACCAATCAACACGAGGCTTGTAGGCCACCGCCTTCCCATTGGCTGCGGCTCTGGCACCGCCCACCGTACCTGGCGTTGGCGTCCGGTGGGAAGGCGGTGGTTTCCGGCCCGGGACTGAGCGGTGTCCGCGGACGCGCTCCGGCCCCGTGCCGCCTGTGTACCGGCGGGGGCGTGGCGGCGGGAAGGGCCTCCCTGCTGGCGCCCACGGTCTCCCGGCGGCCGCGGCCTCCCCGGAGTCGGGCCCTCTGGGCACTGTGAGAAGGAGTGGAGCGGCGGGCGGGAGCCGTCCGGGGCCGGCGAGGTCAGGCGCGTGGCTGGAAGGACCTCCTCAGCTTCCTCCGCAGGCCCTGGAAGTGAAACCCCGGTTGGTCTTTTGTTGTGGTCGTTTAGTTTTTCTTTTCTTGGTGGGGGAGTGCGCGGGACTGATCTGCGGAAACCACCACTGACTGAAAAGTTTCCCCGGGTTCGGTTGGGGAGGCGGGTGTTGTGTGAGGAGACGTGGTTGCCCTTATCCAGAGCTTCTGTGACCCCCGTCTCTTTCCTCCACAGCCTTCATCCCGCGGGGGGCCCGCCCCCAGCCCCTCATCTCCTGTATTTGATCCTCTGGGATCCCTCTCTTTCTGAGGCGGCCATATGGATACCTCGACGCCCATGCCCCCCGTTCCCCCCTCCCCGACCTGCAACCCCGCCCCACGGACAATCCAGATCGAGTTCCCGCAGCACAGCTCAGTGCTGCTGGAAGCCCTGAACCGCCACAGGCTAGAGGGAAAGTTCTGTGATGTGTCCCTCTTGGTGCAGGGCCGGGAACTTAGGGCGCACAAAGCAGTGTTGGCTGCTGCCTCTCCTTACTTCCATGACAAACTTCTTCTGGGGGATGCGCCGCGTCTCACTCTGCCCAGCGTCATTGAAGCCGATGCCTTCGAGGGGCTGCTCCAGCTCATTTATTCAGGGCGCCTCCGTCTGCCACTGGATGCTCTCCCTGCCCACCTCCTTGTGGCCAGTGGCCTCCAGATGTGGCAAGTAGTAGATCAGTGCTCAGAGATTCTTAGAGAACTAGAAACCTCCGGTGGTGGAATTTCAACCCGTGGGGCCACCTCTTACCACACACTTCTTTCCACCACATCCTCTCCAGGAGGCTGGTGCATTCGCTCTTCCCCTTTCCAGACCCCAGTGCAGTCTTCCACCTCCGCCGAGAGCCCCGTTTTAGGGGAGGGGAGTGAACTGGGAGATGTGTTACAGATTCAAGTTGAAGAAGAGGAGGAGGAGGAGGAGGAGGAGGAAGAAGATGAGGAGGAGGACCAGGGGTCAGCAGCACCCTCTCAGACACCTCAGCCTCAGAGAGTATCAGGGGCTTTTCCCTGTCCTCATGGATCACACCCACTACCTATATCCACTACTCCCCGCAGGGTTTCAGAGGGTGAGAGTGCACCACTTGAGCCACCTACCCCTCATACTGCACTGCCCCCGAAAGTCTTCTACATTAAGCAGGAACCCTCTGAGCCTAAAGAAGAGATATCAGGAGGTGGAACTCAGTCTGGAGGAACAAAGGAGGAGACCAAAGTGTTTCCTGGAGGGGACACTGAAGGGAATGGAGAGCTAGGGTTCTCGCTGCCCTCAGGAGCAGGGGCAGCATATGGAGGAGGAGGAGGAGGTCCATCCTGGAAACCAGTGGATCTTCATGGGAATGAAATCCTGTCAGGGGGTGGGGGACCTGGGGGGGCAGGACAGGCTGTGCATGGGCCTGTCAAGTTAGGAGGTACACCCCCTGCCGATGGAAAACGCTTTGGTTGCTTGTGTGGGAAGCGGTTTGCAGTGAAGCCAAAGCGTGACCGGCACATCATGCTGACCTTCAGCCTTCGGCCCTTTGGCTGTGGCATCTGCAATAAGCGCTTCAAGCTGAAGCACCATCTGACAGAACATATGAAGACCCATGCTGGAGCCCTGCATGCCTGTCCCCATTGTGGCCGTCGGTTCCGAGTCCATGCCTGTTTCCTTCGCCATCGGGACCTATGCAAGGGCCAGGGTTGGGCCACTGCTCACTGGACTTACAACTGACTGCTGAGGCCGTACACTGATTTCTAGGATAAGAGAGCCACTGCTGCTGACGGATACTTTGCCCTCACAACCATCACATCCCTCTTCTGGATCTTGTAATCATGCCAAGAAAATCTATATACTCTGGATATCTTGTTCTTAAGTGTAGGCATCAACCTGGCAGATTTGGGAACTCAGATTTCTCATCTCCAGGTTTTTGCAAACCACCCCATAGGAAGGTGGTTTACAGGGCGTACATAAATTGATCACTTGCCCATAATAGACCTTTCATAAAGGAAACCAGATTTCAGATTAGAAGTTTGTTTGGTGAGAGAAAAGTTACAGCAAAAAGATGTAAAAATGTTTCATTTGGTCTCCATGAGCTGTTAAAGGAGCTGGTGTCCATGTAGGGATGTTTGATTCCAAGGTCTAATAATTCAGGAACTAATAAGGTTCTCCTCTCCCTTGTCATTGCTGAAATGATTTAGGCAGAGTTCTTTTTAAGTACTCTTAAAAAGAAAGAGTACTTTCTTTTGTTTGGTCTTTCCAGAAGCCTCTCAGATCATAATTTGCTCTGCACCTTCCCAACACTTCTGTTTTTAATTTTGTAGTTAAGCACTTTAACAAATTGAGCATTCCATGTGTCATTCTTAGAACCCTCTTTTTAATAGAGGATATTCCCTCAACAGCCTGTGCCTCTTGTTTATCTTTGTCCACCACTGATCACCCATATACTGATCACAGTGATTGGAATGTGACCAGTGAACTCAGGAGATGGCCACTGACCCAAAATGCTCTCAGGGTAGCACCACTGTTGAACAAGTGGCTGTTGTCAGAGGCTGAGACAGCACGTAACAGAAGGCTGAAGAGTATCTGCACAGTAGGACCACACCCCCTTCCTTTCCATCCCACTCACATGATAGGCCCTTTGTTGAGAGATAGAAAAGTAGATATTGGAATGGGGAGATTGTGACAGTTTACTTAATTTCTTCAAATAAACTTTGCCCTGAAACCTAAGCTGACAATGGACTGGATTGAGTAATTTACGTGGGAGAGACAGCATGAAAACTGTTGCAAAGACTTGGATGTGTTCCTTATGTGGCAGGGTTATGTTGATGGGGGAAGAATGGGATGGTTTCACACTGGTGCAGAGAACACTGTCCTGGGTGTCAGTGCGCCAGATTCTAGGCCCTGACCTGCCACTAAATGATATCAGATAAGTTATCTTTCGGAGTATGAACTGGGGGTTTTTGTGGGGTGGTATGTATCTCCTCATTGGTTCTCTTGTCTTTTTATTTTTAAAGGAGTTGGTTCACATGATCTTTACCTATAATCTTACCTGACTTTATGTATAATGTATATTTGGTTGTGGTTTGGTTTGTTCTAAAAACATTTAGTGCAGTGCACTATGCTAGACCCTTATACTCTGACCTCAAAAAGTTCACAGCTACTATCAAAGTTAGACAAATAATGACAATGTGGTATGATAAGTCTGTCTTAGTGGGCAGTACAGGCTACTGTAGTGTCATAAAGGAAGCCAGGAGAAGGTCTTAAATGTCAGCAAAGGTTTCATAAAGATCTTGGTGTACCAGAGTACGGCAACAATGTTGGTGGCCTAGTTGAAGTTATAACTAGGGCCAGGATTGATACCTTTCCCCAAAGCATGTTCCTTAAAAGTTATTATGGCACCCAGATGAGGCTGAAAATGTGACTTTATGGCTGAGAAGGTGGATTCTCGCTGTGATCTGTCAGCCTTTCTAAAGAGCCATGCCATGGTACCATCCCCATGGTAAGGACTGTGAACACATTGGGAAAGGGGTCAGGGAGAGAGCTACCAAATCACACCCACCTGCCATTCTTTTAGCACACTTCTGCAGGTGGCTACAGACATACCTCAGAGTTATTACAGGTTAAGTTCCAGACCACTACAACAGAGCAAGTCAAATGAATTTTTTAGTTTCTCAGTGCATATAAAAGTTATCTTTTTACAGTAGCCTATTAAGTGTGCAGTAGCATTATGTCTAAAGAATATGTGTATACCACAGGGCACCTGGGTGGTTCAGTCGGTTAAGCATCTGACTCTTGATCTCAGCTCAGGGCTTGATCTCATCTTAGGTCTTGATATCAGGGTCATGAGTTCAAGCCCTGTGTTGAGCTCCACAAGGCATGGAGCCTACTTAAAAAAAAAAAATGTACCTACCTTAAAAAAATACTTTATTGCT